GCCCAACAGTCCTAGCGGGCCAAGGCCTGCAGTGGCCCGAAATCTGCTTTAATGACTGTGGGCCCCGGGTGCATGAGCAAATGCCCTGAGCAAGTGGTCAGCTTGTCGGCATTTTTTTTTTTTTTTAATTTACAGGCACATACCCGTTTCGAGAGCATTTGGGCTAACCTCCCATTGTGCTAAAAATATTTTAAAACAGCATATCTTTAGAAATTTTATTGGATGAACTTTTCTTCTAACTTTTTGTGATAATATATAGAAATTAATCAAATTATGGAATGCTTTATTTATTACAAAGATTTCTTTACACGTACTCCCATACCACACATAAGCAAGCAAACCAAAGGAAGGTGAGATTTAAAAATGTGAAGTTGATTTTATTATATGAACGGTGTTTCAAGTAATTTAATTCTCATTATATACTGTATTCCAAACCAATTATATAAATTTTAATTTTCATATAATATACAATCTGCAAGTTTGTCAAACTAGTCGATACTCATGAAGTAATTAAAAGATAATTCAGGATATCCATTTCGCAAACGAGGCAATAAAGGAAAACAAATCTCTTTGAACAGGTCGCTCTCAATAAATCTTTCGGACACATTCTTGCCGCTTTTTGCGTTTTTGTCTCTGCTTAAGTATTGTACATAATAGCAATATTTCAGCTATCAAAAAATCATCCGATTCTGACATCTTGCCGCAAACATATAGAAACACAAGGAAGTAACAAGATAACAGCTCCGTTGATACTATATTTCAACGTCACGTGATTTTTGCGCAAAATAATTCTATTGGTTAAACGCACTTTTCGCGAGTGTACTTGTTTTGGACACTTTTTGCCTGGTATGGTATCTTAAATGCGCTTTCGTCAGCTACGTTTCGAGCGTAGTCGTGTGGATGAGCCTTTATACGTCGTTTGAACACGCTATAGATTTGAATTTTGGTTTGCATTGAGCGAAGCGTTAAATGGGCCCCACCGAGCGACAAAATGTCTTTCAAAGTTATTGCCTTCCCCCTGCCCCCAAGAGGTGCGATTTGTTATTGGTTTTGGCAATTAGCATACCAGACAACAATAGAAAGCCAGGAAATGGGGAGAATTCGCGGATAAACTTTGTAAAGTTTGTAAGTTTTAAAGAGAACCCAGAAAGAAATCGAGTGTTTTATATTAACATGTTAAAGCACGTTAAAGTTAACGTTAACATGTTAACATGTTAAACTTACGCACGTTAACATGTTAAAGTTCCAAGTGGCCAGACTTAATGAAAAAAATATCAAGGGAGACGGACAGAGATAGAAAATAATTTTCCGAAAGTCGAATTTTGACAGATCAAACATACTTTGCAGTTAAATCTGAGTTGTCCAACACTCTTTTAACTATCTCTTTTATCTTTATATCAGCTCCTGAGATAGTGAGATGAGCAGAATGAGCAAAAACCAAGAAAAAAGTGTAAGTATGAAAAAAAAAATCATATAATTTCAAAGTAGCTCATATTACATAATAAAATCTAATAATTCTGCTGTATCGTTTCTGTGCCCCCCCTCCCCATGTTTAACGCGAATATGATCCAATTTTCTTTAAAGTGCTCTCCACGAAAGCATCGCTTCCCTTAGGTGACCCTCTCATTAGGTTTTCTCATATACCTCCCCTTAGGTTTTTCTCACATTCAAATAACCTAACTTAACCATTTTGCCATCGTAACATTATTTTAAAGAATGGGATGTTATATTATCAAACAATTTACACAAAGAAAACGTTCTTTAAAAATCAATTTGCAAGTTTAATAATAATGAGGTATCTCCTTTTTTCACCTAAAAAATTTAGCAGCATTTTGTAAAACTTCCTGTATACGAACTATTATTACGCTATATTGAATTAGAAATGTTACTTAATGATACGCTAGAAAATGTTAAGTTGTGGCCTGGAAACGCGAAGGCAAATAAAAGCGAGATAAAGTACACTTAAACCACGGCTAACCAACGAGTGACGTCACGGAAGGCGTCCGAGTCTTCCGCGACTTTGCTTCGGGTTTGAATATGCGCGTTTAATTAAATGTTTAGATTCTTTTGTTTTAAATAATGCATAGTAATTAAACTTTCAGAGATTTACGAATAAACGTATATAAATGTTTAGATTCTTTTGTTTTAAATAATGCATAGTAATTAAACTTTCAGAGATTTACGAATAAACGTATATAAAAGGTCGTTTATACGTTTATAGTTAAGAGTGATAGCTTCAGAGGTATTATTTTAAGAAATATCCATGAAATTTTCTAGCCAATATTTTACGATATTTTGTACAATTATTTTTATACTGCATAGTAATAAAATTTTAAGATTTGCTGAACAACAATGTTTTAAAATAAATAAAGATTGCTATTTATTAACATAAATAAATCTTCACAGTTTGATTGTTCTTACTTCCACTAAATACTAAAATAAAATTCTTTAATAAATACTCCGAAAAACATATTTACAAAATTTACTGTTGATTTCACTGATCCCAAATTTGCAATTTTATTTTCGCAGATGTGAAGGAAAATGGAAGAAAAGGAATGAAAGGATTCCAAAGTATAAATAATTAACCGACAAAATATAAACCCTATTTAACCAATTAAAAGACATAAAAACGATTTTTTATTACCTTATTACAATATAATTATTTATTAAAAATTACTGCTGTTTTTAATTTTAAGAATAAGTTGAATGAATGATCAATAATATATCCAATGGTTTAAAACTATAAATACTTCAAATTTTAAAAAGTATGAAAATGCCCTTTTTTTCCCTTTCAGTAATTATCTAACAAAAAGAAACGGAGATCAAAAGTAGCAAAAAAATTAAAATTGCCTTAAATCCTTTTGGTATTTGCCAACATAAATTAAATAAAGCGTAATTTTGTGCTGCATTACAGCAAGCGAATTATTGCTAACGTAATGATATCTTTATAATCTGATAATAAAGAGGAAATCATAAAAGACTGAACAGATGATGCTTCAATACTTTCAAGATTCTTAGGAAAGTCATTTTTTTTAAACCTTTCTATGTCACCTTTTTTTCACTCGAACCTCATCGATATATAAATTCAAGAAATGCTAATGCCCCAGTAAATTTTTAACTTTACCATTTACATACTTATAATTAGCTTCAATGTTCGTTGATATATCAAGCTTTAACAGGCGTAGGATTTTTCAGAAAGTGTCAATAGATGGAAGGCAGATTAACTGACTGTCATAGAGGCAACTAAAACAAGCAGCTTACTTAATGTATAACGATTTGATTTGACTTGATTTAGTTTATGATAGCAAAACACGCTAGGGTATTTGCCTGAGGTATGCCTTTACGGAGGACTTTCTAAGGCAAACTGGCTCGTATGCATGCTATACATAAGGAAAATCACGAAAATGCTCTTGCAGCCAGCCCCTTCGCCCGGATTCGAACCCAGGTCTGAACTACCAGTGCTCAGCGATTTTACCGCTCTGTGGCTGGTGGGATAATGCATAACGAATAAGCAAAGACTAGTACCTTCTAGCCATTTTACTTTTATTACAAATCTTAATTTGTTCCAAAGTAAAATGTTCTATTCCCCAATTAAGATTCTCAAATGATTTTTATTCGACGTATGCTTCCTAGTTATATAGTGGTAAGTCATAGTTCGATTTTAATTTTTTAATTACCATGCTTTTGACATAGCTATAAATGTTTTCAAATTCAGTCCATAAAGTGAGTTTAGTAGTTCCATTTAATATATTTTTACATATTCCCATTTGAACAGCTTCTTGTCCAAGAGACACTGCTGTATTCATCTGAAGTGATATTTAGATATATTTCCCAATTTTAGGCTATAGATTAGAACTGAGCAATAAAATATAATTTCTATCAGCAGATTTTTATGTCAAATTAAATCTGAATCATCTGAAATGTTTAGCTTATTCCATAATGAAGAAGAAAACTCCTCAAAAGATGCAATTTTGTCCTTTTTCAAAAATTTATTAAAAATATGTTTATCCGTATTGGCTCTTTTTTCCTCTGTGCTCATCCTTGAAGATGTTGGATTATCAGACAAGTATTTTGGAGAATAAAAAAATGCATGGATAAGCATCGTTTATAATTTAGGGTGTCCTTTACAAACTTAAACAACAATGCCTTAATTTTTGATAAATAATCGTACCGAATAATGTCATTTTATCAAAAATATTTCTTACATACAACGCTCACTCGGAATTCTTTTTATCTAGAAATACCGTTTTAATATATCTTTTGGAAACTTGAATATCTGTATACTCGTATATCCACTGGTTTTAACGTAATTCAGACTGAAATGCAACATCGTGCAGGAATGGAAGTAGACTTCACTCATTTTAGCTCTACAAAGAAGTCGATAGCTATATTTATTAACAAATTCTAAAGAAATAAATAAACTTAACTACCAATGTGAACTTAAAAAGCCAAAACAGCATAACTGCTTTACTTACATTACTTAACTCAAATTTACTAATAAAAAATACATGAATAATGAAAAAACACAGTGCAACGTTAATGAACAGCACACAAACTAACATGGGAATTCTTCGCTTACAGTGTCCACAGAGAAGCGCGAAGGGTGAAAGTTCAGACACCTTTTGTGACGTCAAATCACATGACTTTGAATCTGACCAGGCCATCTAATCACGAAAGTCATTCTTAAACCCCCCGTAACAGTCCATGGAGGTACTCCATGTAACAGTCCTTTATCTAAGTAGCCATGTGACTTAAATTGTGGCTATTTCATAATGAAAGCTATTTGAGTTTTTTCTTTTTCTAGCATAAGTATGCTTACAGGAAAATTCGGACTTAATGTTTCTACTAATATATTACGTATAACAAAAACTTCTCATAAGCAATATGTTTATTTAATTGCTAACAATTCAATGTTAAAGAACGTTTCCTTCGAAAAAATGAACCCTGCCGCGCTGCTCCCTGCGACGATGGAGAACTGAAGTGAAGGGACTTAGAAATGGGGGGAGGTGAGCTGAGCCGGGGAGAAAGAAGCGTCGGTTATTCCGCCATGTTTTGTTCCGAGCTTGTTCGTAATTGCACAATAAAACGGTGTAGTTTGAACGTATAAAGTGTGAGACTTTCCAGTGTAAAGGTATGGAACCTTTTGAATTTAACTTATTAAAGCATAATGAACTTTTTTTCAAGATGACATTTTGTCCTACGAACAGCATTTAATTCTAAATTAGAAGTACCGAAACCCAATGAAAGGGTAAATAAAATAATAAATAACAAAATGATATTAAAATGTAAAATATAAACCAATATTATTAACTTAATGACATATAGTAAAATAATAAATTAACATACCGGAGCTCAGCTCATTGGAGTTCCAGCAGTGATCACTATTTTTTTAATAATTCCGAAACCAGAAAGATAATATATAATATAAATATGAATTTTCGTATTGGCTGAATCTTCAATTCCTACTATTAAATCTGTTTTCATAATATTTTCTACCCTAATTAAGAAACTACGTAACTGGAATTATGTTCTGGGTTAAATATATTTAAAGGAATAATTTGTACCCATGTTTCCAGAACGTCTTGTATGAGGTTTAACAAAAATATTTTTTGAAACTTTGTTACGAAGTTTCAAAAAATATTTTAAATAAATTTTTTTTAAATCAAAAAATATTTTAAAAATAAAAAAAGGGCCATTATTAATCGACCTGAAAGCAGCTGCATAAAATATGTCTAAATTAAATTGCTACACTGAATTATATTCAATATTTTTGTAAGGCTGGATTTGAAGTGTTCTAGGCTTTAATTGTGGATTGAATTGAGCGATATAAAAGAACAAGCCGTATGCACAGATGTACTGAAAACGGTAAGCATTCTGACTTTCCTTGACTAGCATAACTTCCAGAATCAGCACGATTTCTATAACGTTGCTAGGTTATCTTACTTAAATTGTTAGGAAATTTTATAGCATGAACTGAAGGTACAAAGAATTGCTGATAAGTTTATGGCGTGTCATAGCCTAAATGGCATGTTTCTCAGTCGGCAGTTTCCGAGTTCTTCGTAATAGCTATCCATCATCCTTCTTACTTCCCGGATTTAACTCCCTTGAAATTATTCCCCTTCCTTCAAAAGAAAATTATTCTAAAAAGGAAAATAGCTAGTTTCGTAAACAAAGTTCATTAAGAGTCGTGGTCAGTATTGAACGCTCGAACGAAATATAATCGATTTCGTAAATGATTTAAAGTGGTAAGTTCGTAAATAATTTTTAGTGGTTTCAGTCGTAATACTATTGAGATCGATATCTAGAACACAGTGGAAAATTTTTCCATAAGTTAGACAATAAAAGAAGCCGCGATACATTTAATAAGTATTTTAAGAGGCGTTTAAGAAAATCTAGGTAACACCTAAAAAAAACAACTTTATAAGCTTTCATAAAGTATTTAATTTAATGCAGCTACTTGTATTTTTCACAATTTACTAAATGTCTGTAATTTAATGCTTATAGATAATCACAAAATTCAGTGTATGTTTGAGAGCTGTATTCATTACCCAATCATGTACGGTTCTCTAATCGACTTCTCTGCCTTTGTCGTCTATGCAGTCTGGAATGTCGTATACTATACCGTTGAGAACATCTTTTTCTATGCAAGAGAGACCACCAAGATTTTTAGAATTGTTTTACAAGTAAGTAATTTTCATTTCCATAAACCCGCGATTTCAAAATTTCATAAATAGGTTTTAACTAATTATGTTTTAATAAAAATACAAATACTAAACCTATAAAAAAAACCTGTTTATAAGCGTTTGTAAACTTACATGCTGATGTGTAATATGTAGTCTAAAACAAGTAATGTTGTAACAAGTGTAAACATGTACAGTTAACATATAGAGTTAAAAACATGTAGGATTATATTTTTCATTTACGGTATTTTCTTTCCTTTCTCCCTCATCTCTAAATCTCTAAAAACGTTCCGTACGAATGATGAAGAACAGACTTTCGTACATGCATGAAAGCACAGTAAACGCCATCATTTGTATCTGTATCAATCTTGCTTTTTAAGCAAGAAAGAAAGAAGATGAGGACTTTGGCAAACGCCGTTTCCTCCAGTCCGTGAGAGTTAATATTGAAACGAAGACATTTAACAACAAACGTTTTTACAACTTTTTATTAAACATTTACAAACATCCATGCCTTCTCCGGGATTCGAGCCCTACGGCACGGAAGTCAGCTACGCTAACCACTATACCGGTTGAGCGGCAAACGCCATCATAAGGTTTCGAAATTATTTGCTGGTAAGTAATTTTCATCTTCCTGAAAATTGTTATTCTAGTTTTAAAAATTTCATAAAGAACAACGTTACACAAATAATAAAGTACAAGCACTAAACATATTATAAAAAACCTGCTTGCTTTAACTTTTTTTTTTTTTTAGTCCAAAGGGTTTTTTTAAGTCTCTGAAGGACTATTGTTTTCGTTTTGCGATTTTGCGTTGGTTCACTACAAATGTTCGTTTCACTTTTCAAACTGTCGCCACCAAATGTTTAAGTCCTGCATTATATTTGAAGGAATTAAATAATGAAGAATCTGCATAAATGTATCTGTATATCTCGCATTGTGATAAAACAACGGTACATAGAGACATCGAATTTTGAATACGTAATCCTCCAACGCGAATATGAGCATGTGGAAGACCAAATTTGAAATTTGAAATTTTATTATGATCGATTTCCTATTTTGTAAAACTTTGACGAATTTTTGAATTAACAAACTCAAGGATTTCAAAGCGAGCAATGGCAACGTTGTGCAGAAAAAACATTTTTATCTCCAGCGCGCGAGACTCTGTATCGGAAATTCTAAAGATATGCTCGTTTTAAAACTATTTTGCGATATTGCTGTTGCACTGAATCTTATGGTTTAAGTGCAAAACATGATATTTAATAAATAAAGGTACAGATAAAATGTTAAAAAAACGCCCCTGTGGACGTAATTTAAAATCTGAAACCTTTCATATATATATATATATATATATATATTAATATAAATGAATACATTTTGCGTTTTTCATCTGCGACTTTTTCTGGTATTCCCCAATTCCAACTCCCAACTATAAATGTATTTTACACATCTAATGGTTAAGAGGATTTTGCTCACGTGAAACCGAATTCATTGTGGTCGAAAGCCTGTATGTATTTTATAAAAATGACATATAATCAGTGCATAAATAAAAGCGATTGTTAAAAATAATATTAGAGTAATATTTTAACAAAAAATTAAGTGTTTTTGTGCAAAGAAATGTAGAAAACTTGTAGAGTTGTACTTTTCATTTACGACATTTTCTTTTCTTTTCATTCTGCCTCATCTCTAAATCTCTAAAAGCGTTTCGCATACCTGACGAAGAATGGGCTTTCGTACTTGCATGAAAAGGCAGTAAAGGCCATCATAAAGTTCCGAACTTATATGCTGGTAAGTAATTTTCATCTTCGTAAAACTTCTTATTCCAGTTTTAAAAATTTCATAAAGAACAACGTCGTACAAATAATAAAGTAGTAAACAAATTAAAAAACTTTCTTGCTTTTAACTATACGTTATAGTTTTTAAATACCTAAATTTTGCCATTTTCATCTGCCACTTTCTTGGTATTCCCTAATTCCAGCTAATAACTATAAAAGCATTTTGCACAAGTGGTGGTAAAAGAGATTTCGCTCATGTGAAATCAAACTGATAGTGGTCGAAAACCTGTCAATATTTTAAAGAAATGATTAATTAATGTATTAGGGCAAGCAATTATTAAAAATAACACTTTAATAATATTTTAATAAAAAAATCTGATGCGAGTACCACATGACTTCCTTGTACAGAATATTAAATTATTATTTATTTCCTCAAATTTCGTGGATATATAGATCTCATTCAATTAATTCAGTTCTCACTGCGCGGTAAAGCAAAATTGCACACAACCTCAAAATATCTATTTTAAAAATTGGAAAATATAGAAAAAAAATAAAACACCAAATACAGTTAAAACAATTTTAAAAAATTTATTTACAATTGAAATTATAGTTTCTACGCAAAAACAAGCAATTCGGCCAACAGGCAAGAAGGCAGATTTTTCGGTGCACAAAACTGAAAGTTTACTTTTGGTCCCACTCGGCAAAAAAACATTCCAAGTGCAAAACGTGACTGAATTTACTATTCTGTCAAGTTTCAAATGTGGCCAACATGGTGAACTAAAATTAGGCTTAGACGCAACTAAACAACTTTTAAGTTGATGATAATTCTACAACTATTGAATGCAGATTAACTAAAGGCATAAAAACCTTAACCGGAAGATAAGAACAACATAATTCAATCATTTTTAAAGGAAAAAATGCACAATTTACCAACATATAAGAATAAAATTCGACCTCACCGAGCCGAGTAACAGAATCAGTCTTATATGCAAAATTTCAACGTTCTGAGGCTACTCGTTTATGAGTTTTGCGAGATACGTACATGTATACATACGTATGTACGTATGGACCCACGAAAGAATCCCTTTTTAATCTATTTAAATCAATTTTATGATCCGTTTGGTGAAAAAGAGTCCTTTACTTTGTCTTTGCAAACAGATGTCACGCAAAAACATCGTTGAACTGCATTCAAGTACCATTAAAATGAATATTTTTGTTGAAATATGTTACCCGGAATTTTTCGTGATTACAATACTTCCTTTACTTTACAACGAAGTAAAAATGAAGTGGTTTTGTGCAAAGAAATATACAACTGATATTCTTGTTTTAAAATAAAATCGAACCACATTATATATATAAAATTATTTTTCCCTGAATTATGTTTAAATATAAGTAATATTTAGGGCTCTAAAATTTAAAAAAAAATCTGATGCGTACACCACATGACTTCCTTGCACGGAATATTAAATTATACGCATTTTTTCTTGCATTTCATTAAACTTATTGAATTGAATTAAATCTACTTCGTCGATAGCGCATAAACCACAATAGAATAAATGCATTCTTTAGAATTCACTATATTTGTTTATCACAGCGACACTCTGGCACTAGCTTCACTTAATAGTGTTAACCGGAAGATAGGAATAACATAATTCAATCGTTTTTAAAGCAAAAAATGCACAACTTACAAACATATAAGAGTAAAGAAATTGAGATCACTGAGCCGGTTAACAGAATAATTGATACATCTAATTAAAAACATTCATCCTTTTCATAGAATTACGTTATTTATTTTTTGACATTTCAAATAAACACACAAAAAAAGTATATAACAGATATACACACAAGATAAATAAACTAATCTACTTGAGAAGAAGGCTTGCGACGGTGAACCCTAAAATGTACTCTGGAGTGAACTGTGCTGAAAACTTATAAATTTGGACTGTAATTTTACAAAAACGTGCTTTTGGATTTCAGGTCACTTGAAAAGTAAAGTGAAATCCTTTTTCAGATCCAAGTGGAACCGATGGCCCTGTTGCTCTTGAAGGACTGCAGATAGAAGTATTTGAGATAAGAAAAGATACTATAAGAGAAAAGAGCATGTTTCGGGCATGAATTATTAACATTTTTAAAAACTGCCGCCTAAAATTTTTACACATATATCTTGAAAGACACTTTTTCATTTATTCTTCTGTGCTCACCAGCGGCCGAGTGGTAAAATGGCTGAACACTGGTACTTCGGTCCGAGTTTCGAATCCCGCGAACAGGCTGGCTGCATGGGCGTTTTTTTTTCCCCATGTGTAACATGTATACGAGCCAGTTTCCCTTAGAAAGTCCTCCCCTCCCCTTAGGCAGATAGCCCTAGAGTGCTTTGCCGTAATTAAACCAACCAACCAACCAACATTTATTCTTATACAAAGTTTCCGCTATCAAACTATTAGCAAACTGCTAATGAAAGTAATTTTATATTATATTAGTAACACACTACGCATATTTGTAATGTTTATCTTTATAATCCATTTCTAATGTCTCCATTTTTATTATATTTATAGTGGGAAATCAGCTAATAAATTATGTGTAAACATCTAATTTCCTGATTCATGAAGACAGAAAAATTTGCGACTCGTGAATTGCATACCTAATAACGCATTACTTCGTTCAGAAATGTTTGGCAGCTCTGGGTTGCAAGAATATGCAATTTTAATTAGCAGTAGCTATAAATATTTGCTCAAATGTTTCAAATTGTTGTTTTTTGTTTCATTTGGTGTCATGCTTCTTAATTTTTCTTTCTAACGAATTATACTTCCTATAGTAAAACAAGTAAGTCTTTAAATCGACTCGTAAACTACTGTTGTACCTCTCACATACAGCGAGGATAAGTCTGGCAACAGCTGCAGGAAGAAAAACTTGGCAGTGCTGGAATGGCAACAGCGGATGATATTCTATAGATTTTAATATTTTGATTTTGAGTCGATGTTTTTTGCGTCTTTTGCGATACTATTGCGTTAAAACATTTGAGTTTTGGGTGAATGAAATGAATCCGCTGTCCCGCTGCGGATATTAGTAAAATATATTTAGAAAATTAGCTGCGTTGGAAAGGATGAAACCTTGTGTTTGAATTTGCGGTATTTTTCCTCCTAAAGTTGCGTCGAGTTCAGAATATTATGCCAGGCTTATTCACGCTGGTGCAGATAAGTTCAAATTTTGTTATTGTGTTTATAGTGTATAACTTGCATATATATGAATAGAATTCTATTAAATAAACATTTAAAATTCTGGAATGGTGTTTTAAAATTTTAGATGTAGAGTATTCACATTGCTATGTCGGAGCCAGTGGCAGTCAGGTGTAAAGTAAAATTGTTTTTGCTCCACGACATAACAAAATGGCGAGCCAGTCAGGATTGCGATCCTGATTCGAATGTGTTGGGATTATTATATTAATATAGTTGAGAAAGTATTGTGTTTGCTATATTATATTATTGTAGAAGTAAATATTAATTTAAGTGTTATTTGGAAACGTAATGCGTTTTATCGTCTGCAATGTTGAATTTCGTATTTGTATTCGAATTAGTTTCAATTTTCAATCGAAATGCTATGCGTTAAATCGTCTGCAGTGTAAACGTAGAAAAGGTTATGCGTTAAATCTTCTGCTGTGATATTCAAAATAATTTTGTTTTGCTGTATTATGAATGTTATGACATATTGTTATTCATTTTTATTATATTGAGTTATATTTTTGGAATTGCTGAGTAAAGACGTTTTTGAGGATTTGTCGGATTGATGATAACATTACAGATTTTGAGTTTTAAGTGGGTCTGCATTTAAAGATAAAATGGATGTTGATATGTTGAAGAAAAAGCGTGCAACGGCACGCAGTGCCTTTACTAGGACGGCTAAGATTCTAAAAACCGAACTTTGTAAAGATGTTCAAGCGGATAGAGATGTATTGAAAGACAAAATTTTGAAGTTGCAGATGATAATTGCTGAGTTGAGATCTTGCGATTCAGAAATACTAGATTCAATGATTAAGGGAAAAGCCGCTGAAGATGATCTGGAAACAGAGGTCATAGGCTGCGAAGAATATTCAGATGAGTTTATCACGCTTAATCGTCGGGTGAAAGAGAAATATAGATAATGCGGTTGACCGTAGTGTCAATACGAGTTCTAACACGGATAGTAGCATAAGTGCTTCTAATGAAAAACGGTACAAGTTGCCGAAAATTCAAATTAAAAAATTCGATGGACAATTATTAAGTTACCTTACATTTTGGGGTCAATTTAAAAAGATCCATGAGGATAAGGAGCTTAATGACGTTGACAAATTCCATTATTTAGCTCAATCAATGTTACCCGGAACTCGGGCTAGTGAGTTGATAGATAGTTATCCTTTAACGGCTGAAAATTACCCGAAAGCCATTTCTGCGTTTGAGGAGCGTTTTGGAAACAAGGAAATTTTAACTGAGATATATGTGAGGGAATTGTTAAAATTAATTATCCAAAATGTACGCTCACAAGGGAAGGATCGGTTGCCGCTAGTGTCACTGTTTGACAAAATCGAATCCCATCTCAGATCTCTAGAGTCTTTAGGCTTAGCCCTGGATACTAATGTTTCCTGGTTATATCCCATGGTCGAGTCTTGTCTGTCTGCTGAGATGCTTCGAGTATGGCAGAGAAGCGTTTTGTTCAGTAAAGAAGGATCACGTCTCACAAATCTCCTGAAATTATTGCGTAAAGAGGTCGAAGGAGAGCAGAGAGTTGAACTAGCCAGGTGTGGATTTGAAATTTCTTCTACTTCGCGCAATGAACATTCTAAAGATGTAAAAGTTAAGACCAAAAACCCAATCGCTAGCGCAGCAAGTCTAGTGGCTGTCAAAGAACAAAAATGTGTTTTTTGCGGAAAATCTCACGAAAGCAAAGAATGTTTTACAGCTCGATCGATGAGCTTAAAGGAAAGATTAGACAAATTAAGAGAATTAAAATGCTGCCTCCGCTGTCTTAAACCAGGGCATTTTGCGAAGACATGTCCACAGTTTATTCAATGCTGTTTGTGTAGGCGATCTCACCCTATAATTTTATGCCCGGAGGTATCAGAAAACAATGCTGACAATAAGGAAAAACGAAACGAGTCAGTAATGGTACAAAGTACAATGTCCTCTCCCTTATGTATGAATGAAGTCACTCTTATGACGTTAATGGTTGAAATAGTTGTAGGCACTGTAAAGAAGGTGGTCAGGTGCCTCTTGGATTGTGGATCCCAACGATCTTACGTTTTACAATCCACAGTTGAAGCTTTAAATCTGAAAAGCACTTCCTCTGAGACTTTAACTCACGCGTTATTTGGCGGAACAAGGACTGAGTCAAAAATTCACAAGAGATATTCTATAGGTCTAAGCCCGGTTGGGAAAAACAAAGTGTACCAATTTAGTTTTCTGGATCAAAATACCATTTGTGGAGGCATACCACGCATACCTAAAGGACCGTTATTGAAGGAATTAAAAAGACACAGAATTTGGATTTCAGATGTCGGTGAGGGTCACCCGGAAATAGAAATCCTCATAGGGAGTGATATTTATGGGCAAATACTTACTGGTGAAGTAATTCAGCTTGAGGGTGGTTTGACAGCCATAAATACTAAACTGGGATGGACGCTGTGCGGGGAATCGAAAGGAACGATTATCCAAAGTTTTGAGGGTACCCCATCTATGTTAGTAACTAATCTTCTTATTCAAGACATGGGAACCTTCCTTTATGTGGAAGTTAGAAACTATCGGCATTGCAGATGATGCGCAAAGCATTTCCAGGGTCGCAGAAGATCAAGCAGCGAAAGAGCAGTTTCTTAGGGGCCTTCGCAGAACCGGAGATGGTAGATATTGCGTGAGTTTACCTTGGGCTCTAAAATTCCCTCCTGATATTCCCTCTAACTGGCATATTGCAGAAAAGAGGCTCTTTGCTACTACGAGAAAATTGAGAAAATTAAATAAATTTGATGAGTATAGTACAGTATTTAACGAATGGCTAGCGGAAGATGTCATAGAAATTGTCCCAAAATCAGTAAAGAATGACGGAGGGCATTATTTACCACACCATCCAGTAATAAAATTAGGTAGCCTCACTACCAAGATTAGGCCTGTATTCGATGCGTCGAGCAAAGTCGTTGGTTCGCTTTCGCTAAATGATTGCTTGATAAAAGGTCCAAACCTTGTAGAAGAAATCTCAGCCATTCTAATGCGGTTTAGGGAAAAGGCAATTGGTGTAACATCCGATATTAGGCGGGCCTTTTTACAGATTGAGGTAGAGCGTGAGGATCAAAATTACTTAAAGTTTTTGTGGTGGGTAAATAATAGAATTGAAGTGTTTCGTCACAAGAGGGTTGTTTTTGGGTTAACTAGTAGCCCCTATTTATTGGCAGCTGTGATTTCATTTCATTTGTCCCACGTTTCACCTGAATTCAAAGCTGTTGCGAATAAACTTGCCAAATCATTTTATGTTGACAATTGTGTCACGTCAGTCGATGATAACGAAGAGCTAAAGGTTTTTATGAGCCAGTCGATTACTATTATGGCAGAAGCCAAAATGGATCTTCGAATGTGGACTTTTAATCAATATGGTGATCAAGAGCTAGCAGCTGAAGATAGTGATCCAGTCTCCGCAGTTCTAGGCTTGCAGTGGGACCGACGAGATGACAGCCTTACAATATCCGTCCAAAGAGAAATCGTTAAAAGAGACTTATCAAAAAGGAGACTATTGTCTCTAATCCATGCTGTTTTTGACCCGCTAGGTTTCTTTGTGCCCGTCATATTACCTGCGAAATTAATTCTTCAAGAGGCTTGGGCAACAAAATCGACCTGGGATAAGCCATTACCGGATGAACTTCAAACAAGATTTGAGAGATGGTACGAAAGGTTGCCTAGTCTTTCCAGCCTTAAATTACCTCGTCGCATGGGTCATGGAATTAAGGATTCATGGACTCTACACGTCTTTTTGCCAGTCTTTGCGATGCCATTAAAGCTGCTTATGCAACTGTCATTTGCTTGCGAAGTAAGGAAGAAGACAAAGTTTCGTGAAATTCGTCATAGCAAAATCACGGGTATCGCCCTTAAAGAAAATAACTATTCCGCGTTTGGCGTTGCTAGCCTGTGTTCTAGGTGCACGCTTGGCAAGGTATACTGTTGAAACCCTGTGCTTAGTCGATGCCCCGATATATTACTGGACAGACGCTACTGTGGCTCTTAGCTGGATACAACGAGAGGAAAACTGGGGAGTATTGGTGGAGTTTAGAGCAAAGGAAGCACTTTCAAGAGAAAGGAGAGTCCATCCATGGATTATTGGTAGTGAGAGACAACAACGGAGTCCTCAGAGTTAAAACTAAAATCATTGAACGTGATGATGAATTCTGCTTCCTTTATCCCCTGTTGCTTCCGTCCAAGCATTACTTAACTCAATGCCTCATAAGAGAGTATCATGAAAAGAACTGTCATGCGGGAGTGCAGATATTAGCTGCTAAGTTAAGAGAGCGATACTGGATCATTTCGTCGAAACGTAATATAAGATCTTGCGTAAGTCGATGTGTAGTATGTAGGAGATTTACCGCTAAGGCTTTATCTACCCCTCCGATCCAGTTACCCCTTGACAGAATAAGAGATTCGGCAGTCTTTGAAACAACTGGAGTCGATCTTTGTGGACCTTTACTTCTGAGACCAAAGAGTAAAGCTTGGATCGTCTTGTTCACCTGCGCCGTATACCGGGCAATTCACCTGGAGCCTGTCACCTCTCTGAGTACCGAAACGTTTCTACAGGCTCTGAGACGGTTCATTGCCAGACGAGGCCGTCCTGCGACAATGTATTCAGATAACGGAACCAATTTTACCGGAGCAGACAATGCTCTGAGATGCCTGGATTGGAGAAAAATCACAGAAAACGAGTGTTTTCCAATAAAATGGAAATTCACCCCCCTACGGCTGCGTGGTGGGGGATGGTGGGAGCGCTTAGTTCGTTCCACCAAGACTCTTCTCGTGCGAATTCTAGGGAGATCGTCGGTGAATTTCGAGGAGTTACTGACCGTCCTGTGTGATGTTGAATCCACATTAAACAACCGTCCTTTAACATACATCTATGATGATTCGGAAGAGAGCTCGTACCTCTGACACCTTCCCTGTTTTTGCAAGACATAAAACAAGTGGGGGTACCAGATCTGGATTACATCGATTCCCAGAAACTGAATGTGCGTGTAAATTACTGCAATACGTTGAGACAAGAACTGAGAAGTCGCTTCCGCAAGGAATATCTGGCTCAACTAGTGCAGAAGGCAAGCGCTTCATGTCAAAACCTAAAGGTGGGGGATGTAGTCCTCATAGAACTAGACAATAAAAAACGTGTAATGTGGCCAATGGGCAAAATTGTAAAAATATTCAGTAGTAGAGATGGGGCTACCAGAGTGGTACAGGTAAAAACAAGCAGTGGATATTTGGTAAGACCAATCAAAAAACTGTATCCACTAGAAGTTTCAACTACCAGTGATCCTGTGCTAACTCTGGCAACTGAAAACAGATCTAGATACGGTAGACTCTTAAAACCAAGGACATGCTCATAGAAATAATGTACAATATAGACGTTTTGGACTTATATCCTCTTTTCTTTAGCAATGACTTTAATTAGAAGTTTATTCTTTATTGATCTCATTTTAGTATGATCTGTCATATATATTGTATGTTAACCGAGTTTCTTTTATGTGTTTTCTAAACTAATACATAGTACTGTTTTGTTTTATTCGTAATGTTAGAAAATTTTGTGTGCAATGTCTGATTTTGAGAAAATCAGGGTGGGAGGATGTTGTACCTCTCACATACAGCGAGGATAAGTCTGGCAACAGCTGCAGGAAGAAAAACTTGGCAGTGCTGGAATGGCAACAGCGGATGATATTCTATAGATTTTAATATTTTGATTTTGAGTCGATGTTTTTTTGCGTCTTTTGCGATACTATTGCGTCACCACATTTTGAGTTTTGGGTGAATGAAATGAATCCGCTGTCCCGCTGCAGATATTAGTAAAATATATTTAGAAAATTAGCTGCGTTGGAAAGGATGAAACCTTGTGTTTGAATTTGCGGTAATTTTCCTCCTAAAGTTGCGTCGAGTTCAGAATATTATGCCAGGCTTATTCACGCTGGTGCAGATAAGTTCAAATTTTGTTATTGTGTTTATAGTGTATAACTTGCAAATATATGAATAGAATTCTATTAAATAAACAATTTAAATTTTGGAATGGTGTTTTAAAATTTTAGATGTAGAATATTCACATTGCTATGTCGGAGCTAGTGGCAGTCAGGTGTAAAGTAAAATGGTTTTTGCTCCACGACATAACACTTACTACTAAATCGATAAGCTACATATCTTGGACAAACGACTTAATTTTCTTCCAAATTAAAACTCTCTGCAAAAAATTATTTAGTTATAATCACAGTTATTATTTGAGGATACGGCATTTACTAATTTAGAATTTTAATTTTAAACCTCACATTTATAGAATAGATTTATGGTCCAAAATCTTGCTTAAGATCTGTGGTATTTTAATGCATTTTCTTTTATAATCCATTTGTTAATTACTTATCTAATTATAATTGGTAATTTTATAGACAGATGCTTGTATGTTTTACATTGGATCAATTCTTGGAATGTCTGCAGCCTGGATCGCAGGGAAAGTCTTCGAATCAGTTCTCATCCTGGCTGTCGCTAATGTATTCGTCGGTCTCTTCGGCAGCGCTATTATCATTCTTATTTTCATAGTAAAACTGAAAAATAATTCACTGAGGGTAAGTAACATTATCTGTAAAATAATTCTTTACCACCCTAATTTTATTTGTTCTCTGGACATTATCCATCATGCCTAGACATTTATTTGTTTACTTAGAAAATTTTCAGAAGAATACCAATTTTTTTAGGCCCATAGACCAGAAGGGCTAACCATTTCGTTTTGGGATTTTGAGTCGAATCACTCTAAACGGCGTATCACTTTACAGATTGTTGCCACCAAATATTATGGCCTGTATTATATTTAAAGAAATTAAATAATGAAGAATCTGCATAAGTGTATGTATTTTTCTCGCACTGTGATAAAACAACGGTACCTAGAGCCATCAAATTTTGAATAACGTACGTCTACACGTTAAAATTATTTTGTGATATTGCTGTTAAATTGAATTTTATGATTTAAGTGCGAAGAACATGATATTTAATGAATAAAGGTAACGCACAAAACGTTAAAAAAATACCCCTTTGGGCGTATTATAAAATCTGAAAACTTTCAGAAATTTTTTTAAAGATGCCAGAGGGCTATTAATCTGGAAACCTTACATTTTATTCGCATCACTTTTGTGCCCGAGTCAATTTTCAAATTGTTACAAACAAATGTTATGGTGATGCATTTTCTTTTTTAAAAAAAATTAAATAATGAAGAATTCGTATGTATATATGTAGGTATATTCCTTGCATTAGAAAAGAATTCCTAGAGCTACCAAAATTTTAATACTCATTGTCCTCTACCCGTACATGGGCACCTAGAAGCTCGAATTTGTATTTGATTTACTTCATATTATAGCTGTATTTGATTTATTCCATAGTCAGACTTACGCTTACTAACAAACATGCAAACATAGAGCAGGTGTGCTAGAATCAGCAAGTTCATCTGTCTCAATTACGCGAGTAATAGAATTAATTTTATTTTTAGATACTAAGATAATTTTGAATTATTAAAAACGAATATAAATTTTCTTATTTTAACTTAATTATTTAATACGAATGCCTTACAATTAAATGAATTATTTGTATATTTTAAAGATACAGTAACATAGACTAAAAAAGTTGCTTTCAGTGGAATAAGATTAAGGCAGTCTGCAGAACATTTTAATTGATAAAAGTGGTCCTGATTTGAAAATAAGCTGTGTTAAGCAATTATATAATATTTACGTCTGAAAGATTAAGAGACTTTGCCGAATGGCAACAATCTGCGAGCTGATCTTGATGCTTATTGGAAAATAAAGACATTATGTTTATGCCGCACTAGCCAAAACGTAAGGAGGATTATGTAAAGTAACATAAGGTGATATGACAACAAAAAAGTCATGGAAAAATGCTTTTAAGAAGGTTTTTAAGATCAAAACGAGTGTATATAAGGATATACGATATTAATAAATAAACAAATAAATAAAAACAATTCACAAATTTTTAAGAGTAATTTTGTACGTTTTATTTCCTAATGTGCTTAAATTTATTTTTAATACATTCTATTATTTAGATGGGGCACAAGATAGACATTTATAAAGTTATGGAAAAGCACTTCTATTGTCTAGCTGTTGCTGGTATTGGAATCCATGTCGCGAGCTTCATCAGTGATTCAAGCTTTACTCTGAATCTCTTCTGCGTTTACATGAGCGTATGTTTACTGCTAGCAGCATGCGCAAAGTATCCCTCACGCTTGGTAAGAAACTCTTAATAATCTGAAAAATCATTTTCTCATTTTAATTTGATAGACAGTGTCGAAGTCAATAAAATACGTAAAATAAACATTCAGGAGAAGATAAATTTGTTTTATTTTAATTCATAAAACATGTCAGCTCAGAGATTGTATATCTTTTCTTAGCTGGAACATGTGTTTGAAAAAGCTCTGCATTTTTAAGATACTCTCCGTGACGGAAGTGGAAAGTTAAAAATGGTTTTATTGTAATGAAAGATACATGAGGCGGTTGACTAAGAGGCAAAGCCATCAAAATACAGCATTCATTCGAATCAATCTGTTCATTTAGCAAACATAGTTTCAAGAGTGTTATGCATTAGTATTATGTTTGGCTATCACTGACATTCATGTATATATAGTACTCGAATTTAGGCGATCGGATCGACAAAAAGCTCATAGTAAGTAGCAGTTTAACTTTGCTCTTTGTCCTCTTTTCATTATGTAGGACCAAGGGCTGTTAAAAATTGTTTAAAATAAAAGCACAAATAATGAATAATATAGTTTTATGCACATCAATGCAAAATGGTTTTCAAATAAATGTGCTGTATAAAGCTGAGTTATTTTGCTGTTCGATGGTTTTGTGAAATTTAATAAATTCTTCTGAAGACTTAGTTCATAAAGTAGGAAAAAAATGAAATAAAGAAAGTCAACCCTGTTCTTCGCTTTTTCTTTACCAAAGTGTAAAACAGACGTTAAATTTAAATATTTGTTCACAAACAATACAGTTCTTCTGTATTTATACATGGTGTACCGTAAATGTTGCGACAAACTTCTACGGGAGGTAGGGCACATCATAAGGATTAAGAATTGTATAGGAACCCGTGCTTGGAAATGTCAAGGGTAAGTGGTAGCAGAGGTAGAAGATGGGAAAAAAAACAAGAGTGATTAATTTGAAATATTTTTTGGACATGAATACAAACGGGGTACGACAGCTTGAATGTTACCGAGATTCTGAAAATTATTCATTATATTTCAGACACAACAGGATCGTGATACACGACACTTTTGATGGCTTCCCACAAAAAAAAATCAAGGCTCGATAAATCCGATCAGCGTGGGGGAACAGGGAACTAGTCCACCCATGGAGGTAGGAAAGTACTTACTTCCTACCTCCATGAGTCCACCATGCGCAATCCATCGATCCGAGAATGATCTGTTCAAATGGCTACGAACATCGACTCCAAAACGAGCAGAGGCCCCATCATGTTGGAATTACTTGTTGCGCCTCACATTTGGAGGAATATAGTCAAGCAAATCGGGAAGAACCTACTCCAGAAAAATCAAATAATTCGCGGCATTCAAATCGTATCTATTTTTAAATGAAATGGCATGAGGCATGTTTGGAGTCTGATAGTGCAGACTTCTAGCATCTGTTGTAACATTTAAGCTGTCGTACACCATTTGTATTCATGTCCAATAAATGTTTCAAATTAATCACTCTTGTGTCTTTTCACATCTTATACCTCTGCTACTACTTACCCCTGACATTTCCGGATAGGTTTATGCTATTCTTAATCCTTACGATGTGCCCTGCCTCCCCTAGAAGTTTGTCGCAACATTTACGGTACACCCTGTATATAAAATCAGCACTTTATATATAAATACAAAGTAACTGTATTGTTTATGAACAAATATTTAAATTTAAATGCTGTCTTCAAAAAGAAGTACGAAGTTTTAGAGCAGTGATTGTCAGCCGGTTTTGCCTCATGTTCCCCTGTCATCATTTTTAGACCACGATATCCTCCTTCCTTTCCAAAATGCTACAGAATTTCTGGCTAGATGTTCTATGATTATGCCACAAAATCACGTATGTTACGAGATAACGGCAATTGCATTAGACATATTCCATGTACTTTCCACTGGAGAATTTCTTGAAAAACTATCAGTTCGAATACACTGCACAAAATCAGTGCAGACCTTTGTTATGTGCAGAATGGCACTGCCTTTTGAAACACGGCATACTTGGAAAACGTAGCAACAATCGTAGCAAAGTATCGCGGGATGTTTGTGATGTATCGTCAGATAATTAAAATACCTCTGTAGATCTGACCTGATCATAGGTAACCATGTATCACATCAAATCGGTCACCATAAGAAAACCTGTGGAGTGATTGATGCTTCCCATTGCTTAGTGACATTTATTCATTACGAATGAATGATGAAAAGCTTTGGTCAAGCTTTCCGTAATATGCGAGTTCTTGCTGATGCAAATCAAATGAAACTTTGGATTCGTAGTTGTATAAAATATAGTTCTATTTTGATATACTTCAAATTTCGTGACTTAATATTATTTTAGATTATCCTCTAGATGATGAATTTTTGTTTTCAAGACATCTCAGTGGGCGCTGACACGGGACACAGAAGCTAGCTTCCTAACAGTAATAGTCGTGAATACAAAATGTCTGCAAAATACGGATTGTGTTTTCTAAAACAACAATCAAGAGTTCAACAGATACACGATGGGCTTAAAAAGTAACAATAATCACGAATTATATCTAAAGATAAACAGAAATGTATCTATTTTTAAATGAAATGGCATGAGAATACGAATTGCTATGGGTTTAATTTAATAGTAATTAAAAATATTTTAATTTTATGTATACTGCTATAACTTAATATTGCAAGAAATATTAAATAAAATAAAGATTTGAAATTAAAAACCATCAGCTATGTATAAAATTACACGCTGAATAAAAAGATTATTCCTTTCGATAGAGAAGTTTTTTTTTTTTTTTTTTTTTTTTTTTTTTTTTTTTTTAATGGCGGGCTCTAACCGTTTACAGCGTTGGCCACTAAGACCGGAAGCTGTGGTGTCTTTATTACGAAGGCACCTAACAGGTGGGACACCGTTGCTTCCTATAAAGAGACGGATTAATTGCATCCATACCTCCTCCGGGATTCAAACCCGGGCCCTTCGGTACAGCAGCCAAAGCCACTATTTTTCTCGTCTGGGCAGCTCTTTACAGAAGATAAGAATATATACTTTTAATAACTGTTAAAATATTGCTTTAAAGACGAATTTTTCAAGATTATGTGAAGAAATATAAAAACGAAGGTTAATAAAAGAGATTGCTAAGAATCAATTGATAAGATAAAACTGATTTTCTGAATGTCCCAACTTAGCTATGAAAATTTTAATTTATTTTTTAAGCTTTCTAACTATTGAAAAATGAGTGTCAATGGTTTTAAACTATTTGAAAGAAGCAGCCTTCTAACTTACCTTAAATTTCCGAATAGTAAAAAACTGGTGAAATTTCGTTCGGAAGATGTAAAATCCATGTCATTTTTATATCAGGCACTACAGCATCTACGATAGCCTGAAAGATAATAGCCTTTCAGTCGGTTTATTGGAGTCAAGTACTAACCATGGTGTTCTGCCCCGAGAGTTATTTTGTAACTTCAATTTTTAATTATAATGTCCTTATAAGCTTTATGTTCTTAAGTGTAATGTTTTTATTTGTGTTTCAAAATTAAAACTAATTAAAATTTAAGATGAGTCTCTTGTTTTGCCAGTATTCCTTCAATTCTATGTAGCTGTTAACCCTAATAGATTTAGAATCATGGCGTCTTGCCAACAGTACGATTTCTCTTCCTTAAAAGCAAGAGAAATTAAATTGCATAAAAATAAAGCTTTAAAATTTATGCGATATAATTTCATACTGATCGATTATTACTAGCTTTATTTCAGTGTTAACTATTATCTTAACTAAATAGTGAAACGTGTATTTTTTAACACTTTACATTTAAAAACTATAAATTGCTACAAACACACACACACACTACATATACTAAAACCTCCTATTAAACGCTGCTGTAAGAATTGTGGAAATATTATAAAAATATTCAAATACAGTTAAGTTACATTCTATTGAATTCATCCTTTTATATCATATAAAGTATGTGGTAGAAAACATCTTTCTTATATTATGAGGTGAAGAATTATGCTGGTACATCTCCTGATCCATTGCTATAATTGAATTAATTTTGCTCAGAATATTCTTGTATAATTTAAAGAAATTAAATAATGACTAATCTGTATAAATGTATATATGTTTCTCGCATTGTGATAAAACAACGGTACCTAGAGCCATCCAATTTTGAATGATGTAATCCTACCGCGAATATGGGCATCTGAAAGCCCAAATCTGAAATTTGGAATCTGTTTTATTATCGATTTCATATTTTGTAAAACTTTTGAATTTTTGATTAACAGACTCAACGATTTAAAAGCGAGCAATGGCAACACTCTATGGGGGGAACCTTTTTATCTCCAGCGGTGCGGAACTGTGTATCGGATATTCTAAAGATGAGCTCAGTTTAAAATTATTTTGCGACATTGCTGTTGAACTAAATTTTATGGTTTAAGTGCAAAGAACATGATTAACACACAAAACGTTAAAAAACGCCCCTTTGAGCGTAATTTAAATCTGAAACCTTTCAAAAAAAATTTTTTCCTGTTATTCTGATTAATCTAATAATTAAAATAAATTTGAACTTCGCAGGCAATTTATCGATTCTCACTCATCCCAATGATGCTGATCATCATAAGTATGATATTCGGCTGCGTATTCATCGCAGGAGTGTACATCAATTCAGTTGCTGCAATGTGTGGAGGCTGTATTTTATTTGCTATTTTTGGTGCAGCTTGTGTACTGTATTCGGTAAGTAATATAATATTCTTTACAAAACTCACAATAATGACATTCTCAGACATCAGTTTTGGTGGCCATACTTATTTCTACCGCAAAGCTTATAAAGTACAGTTAAACAGTAGTTATAGTATTATCGACTTAATAATTTCTGATAATTGTAATAAGTTTTGAGAAATTGTTCCGGAATATTTGAGCTGCATTCCAATTACTCTCATACTTGTGAACAAAGTACAGTACAAAATCCGATCTTCATTTAATACTACTTTTCCACATTTCTTCACAATTCCCTAATTAGAAAATTTTGCTTTCTTTGCGATATCCGAAAACCTTCAAATTCGCGGCTACTATTATAAAGCTTAGCTAACGTCCGCTATACACCATTGGCAATGTATCATGAAATTGGCGACTAAAGCCATGTTGATCAGCTAATTCTGTCGCGCTCTGACGAAGTTAAGGCTGAAAATATATATATATATATATATATATATATATATATATATATTATTTCCATTGGCGAACTGTAGCCGTTACAGGCGTTAGCCAATGCTAAAGTCGGAAGCGGTGGTCGTTTTATTATGGAGGCACTTAATAGCTGGACCATCCTTGCCTCCTGTGAAGGGATAGACAATTTACATCCATGCCTTCTCCTCCGAGACTCGGCCCTTTTTAATTTTTACTCGGCCTCCGGCGGCCCGGGTCCTTCGGTATGGCAGTCAGAGTCAGGCTGAATTAACTTAATTTAGTTATTTATTATACTTACGACTATTGCCGCATATGCTTAAGGTTTAGCTGAGCCTCGAATAAATAAATTCCCACATATTCTTAAGGTTTGCCTAAGGCCGACACTAGACATTTTGCGGCTCTGTGCAATCTCTGCGGGTCCGAAATTCTGCTGCCAGGCATCTCCCTAAATTCCAAAAATTTTGCCTCCCCTAAATCTTTCATCTGTTCCTTCCCTACGTTCTCAAGATTTTGCCATACCTTAGTTTTGTTGTTCGGTGCTTCTCTAAAATTATAAAAATTTTGCCGCTTGGTGTAGCCGCACTAGCGCCGGTCCAGGACTTAACTAAATAAATAAATCAGTTATTCTCATTTCTAATAGCACTAAATGCAATCCTTTAGCCTATGAGTATTATTTGAAAAATCTATATTTGACATATGGAAAGAAATTTCTATTAAATTTCTTTTCGTCAATAAACACCTCGCAACGTAGTTAGGTGAAGTCTGTAATCCTCGCTAAACGTAATGTTAATGTAAAAGGTTACCATGCTCTTTGTTATATAATTACCAATATTAAAATTTAAAAATAATAATAAATTCTTTAGTCATCGTTGCGTTAGTAATTTCTGAATTGTTGATAGATATAGTGATAGATAAGCAGTGATGAAAGCAAAATGTAAAATATAATGATTTACCAGGTTGGATTTCCAGTGACTAAGTAAAGCCAAGCATTAGGACTATCCACGTGTTTCGCTATCAAAAAAAAAAAAAAAAAAAAAAAAAAAAAAAAAAAAATGTGCGCAAGCGTAAAAGCATACAAGAAAAATCTTTAAAAAAAAATGTTGCTGGTGATTCGGAGGTCTGCATTTAAGTCTTTCCGGATATTAGACGTCCGGATTTCGATTTTTTATTGTATTCAACATTTTTCGAAAATTTACCATATTTATAGCATTGTATTTATAATATCGTAAAATATTAAATTTTCCCAATTAAAAAAATATCCGTTTTCAACAGTTTTGAAAGCAACGAAAGACAAACTCTATCAGATTTGATCTACGGTTTAAGTTTGTTCTGAAGTAATCCGAATTTACTCTTTACTTTATAAGGAAATAGGTTAAACGTCAAAATATTTAAACAATATCATTATTCAGTTTTTAATAATTTTTACAAAGCATTAGAAATGTCAGAAATAAGTCAAATACTTTATAAGTTTGTAAGATTCCTGCCTTTACGTTACAGCTGAAAATGAGGAAACTTGAGAACTGGTATTCAGAATAAATTTAACCGACGACTCCTTCTTGGAGTTTATAGAAAAGCCTCCACTTGGGCTTGAACTCATGAATACTAAGAAATAAAACTTAACTAAAAAGATACGTATAGCCGAAGCTATCAAGATTCTAACAGAGTTAGCCTCTTAACGCTAACTAAACGGCGAAGCTATCAAGGGCCTAAAGTACGGCAGACCGTAATACACTCTTTTGCAAAAAAATCGAAGCACCAAAAAGGACTTTTGCGATCGTGACGAAATTTGGTATGGAAAAATCTTGATCGAACATGCAAATGATCAAAGTTTCAAAGCAAATGAACAGGAATTGCGATAATAGCGCGTATTTATAGTGCGCAATTCGAAAAGTATAAAACCAGTAACAAAGGCGGAAATTTTATCTTTTTTTGTTGCTGACATTGTAATTCCGTAAAGAAACAACTAAAGATGCAATTACGATGATATCGAAGACCTTACAGACAACTTAACAACTTCGAACGTGGTCGCATTGTAGGGCTGCGTGAAACTAGGTAGTCATACCGAGCAATAGGCCGCCACCTGCAACGTACAGACACTGCTGTGCAAATATGTTGGCCGCAATGGTTGCTGCAAGGAATTGCCGACGAAATGAAGGCTCTGGAAGGCCAAGGCGCACAAATGCGAGGCAAGATAGGATGATTGTTCGCCAGGCCCGAACCGCAGGTATCATTGTCGGCTATTCAACGCACTACAGCCATGTCTATAACTCCCGTCCATCACCTCACGGTGCTTGACTCTGAGGCGGGGTTACGCTCACAGAGGAAGACGTTTGCCTTTGACCCCACAACATCGGCGGAGTCGTCTGGAGTGGGGACGCAGACGATCATCATGGCTTCCATCAGACTGGCATCGTATAGTGTTCAGCAATGAATCCCGCTTCCCTCTTGAAGCAAATGATCACCGTGTTTTGTGTCTAAAGAGGGCGGGGCAAGCGGTTCCAATCAGCTATTTTTTTTACAAAGCCATACAGCCATAACCCCTGGTGTGATGATGTGGGCCTCTATTTCTTATAAACTGACTATCAATAAGTATTTGGACACCTATGATAGAAAAGAAAAACTAACTTTATTCAAAATCAATAGTTGGCAGAGCCTCCACGAGAGGTAATTGCAGAGTGGACTCTGCGGGGTATACTTTCTACAAGTCTTTGTATGACAGCTAGTGGTATTTTTTTCCACTCGGCTTGGGAAGACATAGAAGTTCCTTCACCTATTTTGCACGGGTAGTGCACCCCTGAATTCGGCGATGCAACTCGTTCCAGAGGTTCTCGATAGGGTTCAGGTCTGGACTCTGGGCAGGCCAGTCCATTCGATGAACTCCATTGGCACCATACCAAGCCTTGGTTAACGTCGAAACATGACAACTGGCATTGTCGTCCTGAAAGTAACAGAGGTCCAACCCGTAAAACTGCCACAACATAGGAAGCACATTGTCATCCAAAATAGTGCAGTAGGCATCGGAGTTGAACTCACCATGAATGGGGACCAAGGGTCTTAGCCCATACCAGGAAAAACACCCCCAGACCATAATTCCACCTCCGCCGAGCTTGACGGTTGGCACAATGCATTCTGGCAGGAGACGTTCTCCAGGTAGACGCCAGACCCAGACCCTGCCATCCGAAAGGTAAAGGGTGAACCCTGATTCGTCACTCCAAAGAACCCGTTTCCACTGATCTATGGTCCAATTTCGATGTTCTTTGCACCACATTAACCGAGCAGCACGGTTGGACTTTGTGATAAAAGGCTTATGGGCACGACCATGAAAACCAAGCAGATGTGCTTCCTTACGGATGGTATTCATTGAAACAATACTCCCGGATGCCTGTTGAAACTCCTCGCGGATGAGGGCTATCGGTTGGGTGCGGTTCTTCCGAATTTCTCTGAACAGCACTCGTCGGTCTCTATCCCCCAGTTTCGTTGGTCTGCCGACTCGGGGCACATTCCGACAATCACCGCTCACCTTCCACTTTTTAATCACATAGGCCACTGTCGATATTGGGTACTTCAGATCGCTAGATATGTCCCTTAAGGATCGGCCACATTTGTGATACCCGATAATTATACCTTTCTCGAAATCAGAGAGCTCCGAACTGCGAGGCATCTTGCATGCGACTAAAGCCGATTCTGTTTCCTACACGATATATACCGGCGGAGTCCGTGGCGTACCTTGGGACCACAGATATCGTCATTTGCATAGGTGTCCAAATACTTATTGGTAGTCAGTGTAACAGCAGATCATCTTTAGCCATCCAAGTTTAACAGCTCAACGATATGTTGATACCATCCTGCGGCCGGTACCCTTCATGGCACATCATCCTGCGGCCATTTTCCAAAAAGATAATGCCAGGCCAAATACCGCTCGCATATCTCTAGACTGTCTCAGTGCGGTTGATACTCTTCCTTGGCTATCAAAGTCACTAGTCCTTTCACCAATCGAGCATGTCTGGGACATGGTAGGCGGCCAGATTCGGGCACCACAAAATATGGCAGATGTGGAGCGACAACTGATGAATGCCTGGCAAAATGTGTCGCAGGATGACATTAGGAACCTCTACCACTCCTTGCCTCGACGAATTCAAGCATGCATTGCCGCCAGACGCGGTTCAACCAACTACTAATTTGAACACTGAATGGGTGATTGTGAGCCGTGAACAGGTACTATTGACCTTGATTTTTTAAATCATTTTATTATCTATGTATGAGCTTTACAGATATTCATCAAAACAACCACTTCGTTCATGGTGCTTCGATTTTTTTGCAAAAAAAATGTAATAGCTTAAGAGAAAAAGAGTAGCCTAAAAGGCGAACGCGCGGGCTTGTCAGGATCTCTGGCTCTCTAACGAAATCAGTGGAACTTCAACTTTAAATACTTGTTCTTCCTTCATTTGCATTTAACCGCGATTCTGAAAACACGTTCTGGCAGGAAATTGTAAGCTGAAATTAAGAATGGACAGGGAAGTAGCTTAGACTAAACATTAACAGTTAAA